CTGAAATGTTTTGCGTCTGACACCTTTCTCATAATTTAATGGTAAAAACTTTGCTCAAAATCCTATTGTACACAATCAGATACACCTGATAACAGGGGGCAGAAGACTACACAAAAAATAATCTCGACTTATCGCATAGTAATAAATTATGAATATTAAAAATGTTCTGTTTTCTATTTTTACATTTTTTGTTTAAAGGCCAAATAAAGACTTAAAACCAAAAAAGTAATTTTCTGTTTTGTTTTATTCTTGGATCAGGCTTTAAAGGGTTAAAGATGGCGGCCATGTTCTGGACATCGTATTAAAGAAAGCCTCCCCCTTATAAGTTACTACTTGAGGTATTCAGATGTGTAATTTCTGATTTCTGGTGTAAAATGGTGTCATTTGACTTTGGATAAACCCTGTGAATTGCTGAGAAATCCTCACTGTCCATTAATTCTTGCTTTTCACCTGTTACACCGAGGTCAGGCAAATCGGGTTTTAATTATTCCGTCTTCTTATCTCTGACAGAACAAATGCATCCAAGGAGAAATGACCAGAATCTGTGTGCTTATAAGATCTATACGAAAGAAACCTTCAAGCCAGTCGGATTTCTGGTTAACATCTTCAGTCACAGCCGGTTGCTCCATTTTGAGCTTTTTCCAAACTAGAATGTCCATCCGGAAAAGAACGAGAAGATCAGAATGGTTAACGGCATTCCTTTTTGGGGGAAAAATCCACAAGAATGAAAATTTTCAGTATAGAAATCCTTCCATTAGAAAATCCTTACATTGATTTACAGGCATTGAGACAGGGGGATTTCCTTTTCTAAACGGTCTGTAATAAGACGGTAGGAAAAGTGGAATAAATCCCACCATAGATGGTGGGTGGGAGACCTAAACGGGGACCAGGAGCATTGATTAAACCAGACAAAAAATCAGGTTTTCAGGAGCTCATCTCTCTCCTCTTAATGAACTCCAAACTGCCGGGGCAGAGACTTGTTGGCGTGTTGATTCCAGTAATTCATTTCAATTTGACACACCACGCTATTCTGTGATGCGTAGAAAAGGATTAAAAGCTACACAGACATTTTCTAATTTGGACCTCGGTGACTGGATGAGTCGCACCTTAAAGAATCCTCAATGAATTCCTTAAGAATGCAAAGTAGGATCTGGGGAAATTAAAACTTTAAGCTGTTTTTTTTTTTTTTTACTGCTTGTGTTGGGGGGAGGTGGGGGGATTTCTATGTGTGCTCGAATCCATTGTGCCGACGCAGATGTTTTGTGACAAACAACATCTGGCCGTCAGTTCAGTTCGTGGGCTGAAAAAGTGCCGGGTTGTCTAACTGGAAATACAAATAATAATAACACAAATGTGGTGAAAGAAGCCAGAGGAAACTTTCCCAGGCTGATGATTCCCTTCGTCCAACAATAATGTCTTGTGTGTGTGTGTGTGTGTGTGTGTGTGTGTGT